TAATATGTTTTAATTTTTTTGATAAAACCATACTTCAATGGCAATTAAATGGCAAAGGTTGGTGGCTCAATTTAAAACCGTCACTTGGGTTGGCTCATTGCTAACAGGTAAATGACAAACCTTCACTAGTTTTTTACAAACACGATAGCTCCACCACTTTTATTGGTATAAAGAGCTAGGAAGTTACTAAAATTACATGTTTAGCTTACCACCCTTGTGGTACACTAGTTTTGCAGCAACGAAGAAACTAGAGCTCTTTTGAGTTATAAATCGTACATAATTTTTTTTTTTGCTAGAATGTCATTTAAGTTCTATTGTGACATGAGAATGCAAAAATAGGAATAGATTTTCCAATCACATGATCCTTCATTGTACAATGGCCATCAATCTGATCGTTGTAAAAAATGATCAAAAGTAATGTAACATGTGATTTGTGCTACATGCTCACTTATCTTTACATTGGCAATAATAATGAATATTGAAATTTTAAAATCGAAAAAGGTACCATTTATGAGTAAAATAAAAAAAAAAATAAAAGGATACACCCGGAATTGCAGGAAATAATGTGATCTAAGTAAAAATTTTTTTTTGTTGCATTACTTATGATCGCCAGTGTATATGATAAGTTGAATGGTGACGATTTCTTTCACAAGTTCTCTGTCTTGTTCTAGTGCTGTTTTATTAACTATAAGCATTTTATCCATAGGTTCATAATTCAATTCTTCAAATAATTTCGTATTAGTTGATTTTCAAGAGGACTATTGATGATATGATAAGTATCCATCTTGTCAGTTTTACCATTATTGTCTTTCTTTTCAACAATGACTTTGCTATTGCTGCTTTTCTCTTTATCATCTAGATTCAGTCTTAATAACGCTTCCATAAGGTTATAAATTTGTGCGATGATGTAGTTATAATCAATACTTATGAGTAGGTTATAGCTATCTATTACCTCATTGATTTCTTGGTTTAAGTTTTGCTCTTCCATTAGTTTACTGACTATAGTAGTGTTTCATTTATCCATTGATAATTATGCCATCATCAGAAGATTCAGAAGATCATCGACCATGGGATAAGTATCACCTATATCGTTGTTTTTATTCTGTAACTTATTAATTGTTATGCTATGTTCTGCGAGATTATATTGTTGTGGTAGCATAAAGTTTAAAAGGATTATCAAAAGATTGGTTAATAAAATTAAGTTGGCGATATAATTTGAGTCGTCTAAGAGGTACATTTTAGTGTTGAGCAACTCTAATATATTTTCTCAATTACAGATTTGAGTTTCTTTAGCCTATAGCGAGTTAAAAGAAATGCAAAATCCTGAGTCGCTAATGTAATTCCGATGCCAATTCTCAGAACTATATTTTCCAGCTGTAATAATCATGTGAAGTACACGTGGTTATTCTTTAATTATATATTGACTACAAACCAATTCTAGTAGTATAGTTGCTTTAAATACTTGATATCCATATGCAAAAGTTTCATATCATGCTATTAAATTTAACTAATCGATGAAATAATTTGGAATACACATAATTTTGTTGTGAAATTCTTAGGCACATTTTAGAATTCTACATATTACAATCTATATTTATTCGGAATCAATCTAAATCTACAATAATTCCATTCTGACGTAAGACATATATAGATTACTTTAACTCCAACTAATAATGTGGTAGAATCGTCCCAATAAAGTCCCAATGAATTTTTAAGATATGGCAAATTGAGTTACGGCTTATTTGTCGCTTAATAAAAGTTACGCCACGCCATAACTTTTCATATCAAAAAAATCTATTGGGACTTCATTGGGACGACTCTACCGCATCATTAACTCCAACTACATATTCACTACGTATTTCATGAAAAACAAAGATAAAAATGGCGAATTATGCCATATTATCATATGTACATATATGACCACAATTTTATTGCTTATTAGGATTTTACTTGATAAAATAAGTATGATACGTATATACATAAAAATATAATACACACATGTGATAATTGACCAATGATTCAAACAAAAATCCATTTTTAAAAACTGTTCATATCCCAAAAATTTACATAACAAATCGACTTTTGTATCCTAACAAAAATTTTTTCTTTTAAAATTTTACCTTATAATGTTTCTTTCATAATAATTCTACTGCTTATTATAACAATAAAATATACGTTGATTATCACATGTGTTATATATACGTATAACTATATAAAAATATATATATTTATACATAAAATAGAAATCTAGGTATAATACAAAATTATAACCAACTTTTAAGGCACATAATCGCCTGTATTGTGCTGCTTTCAAGCCTATTTCTTTCAGGAGTAACTACATTTCCACTTTCACTAAATAATCGCTCTACAGGAGTGCTAGTGGCAGGTATCGATAGATAATCACAGGCCATTATTGCCAATGTAGGATATTGTTTTTCATGAGTTTTCCACCAATCTAATACATTAATTTCACTAGGTTCTGAAGAACTATCCAAATATTTATTAAGTTCATCATGACCATCATGATTACGAAAATGCTTTGAAACAGGAAATAATGAATCCTCGTCATCGTCTTCATTTTGTAAATTATTACTTACAGATGATGAAATTGGAAAATATAAAGAACAATACTCATCAAATTGTTTAGTAAAACTAAATAAAATAAATAAGTAAATAATTAATTAAAAAAAAAATTACAAATAAATAAATAAATAAATTTCAATTTACAAATTTTTCACATCTTTATAATAAACTTGATCATAATTATCATTAGTCCAAGTTTGAAAATATTTAATTTTCCAACGGGGATCAAGAATCGTGGAAATATAATGATAAGATTCCGAAGTTTTATTATAATATTCTTGAAGCTTTTCCCATGCTGCTTTTGCCGCGTCTGATATTTTATCACAGGCTTGATCATTTATTCTTTTTTCACAATGATCCATAAGATAATTATACATAGGATATGCTGCACTAATTGTCGGATATGTAGAAGAACACATTTCAGTAGAAAGTTTAGCGAATCGTTTTAAAAATAATGCAATATTTTCTAGAGATATCCATTCGGATTGACTAAGTTTAAAATCACTTAGATCTGAAAATTCTTCGATTAATAAAATCTTGTCAAAAACCTATTATAAAAAATAATAAATAAATTTATTTGTAAATATTTTATTCCTTACCCAGGCAAATATTATTTTATATAAATAAAATAGCAAATAAAAATGAACCACTTTTAAACTTAAAGCTCGTTGAATTATCATGTATGTACTATTCCAATGAGTTGGAACATCAAGAATAGGTAACAAATTAATATTATTTAAATTTGCAATTTCTGAAAATTTCTGGCGTCGTTGTGGAGATGAGCGGGATTTAGTAATAAGATTTCGAATTTTTTCAGTTTCATCTTTTAGCTTCTTTAAAGCAATTTGAACAGAAAGATTTACGACATGTGCAAAGCAATGGAAGTGATTACTAGAAGAAAAATTAATATTTTTGTTAATTGCCCATGATTTGAGATGATCAATCATTGTATCATTATTAGGTGCGTTGTCTGAAGTAATTCCATTAATCTATAAATTAATTAATTTTATTAATTTTACCGAATTACAATAACATTAAATCACACTATTGGTGTTCAGCATCATATATATTTTTTAATAGTTTCACTAGTAAAATTTAAGGTAAAGGTTAGAGTTAGATGTAAAATTTAAAGTTTTTGAATGCTTGGCACTAATTACTTAGTTAGCTTTTGAGATATAGCAATTGTGGTGTTTGAACACCACTATATGATTTAGTAAACCCGATAAATTAAATTAATAAAAATATACCTTAGATTCAATTTGATAAAATTCTAAAACATTAATTACTTCATTTGCAAGATTCGCGCCTGTATGAGAACCTTCTACTTCAACAAAATCTAAAGTTTTTTGTTGGAGCTGCCAATCTTTATCTATATAATGAGCTATAATTCCCATATAAGCCTTAACCGCAGTCGAAGTCCACATATCTAAAGAAACTGCAAATTTTCCTGGAATTACTTGTAATTCTATTTGGACATTAGTTTGCATTTCTTTATATTTTTTTATTATATCACGTTTAATTGTATCTGCAGATACAACATGAAATTTTGATATTTTTTCAATTATACTTTTAATTCGACCTTCCACTATTGTAAAAGAAAGGTCTTCGAGAACAATCCATTCCATAATCCATGACCGTAAATCATCTTGAGTAACCTATATTAATTAATTAATAAAAAAATTTAAGAATTAGAATAGAAATAAAAATATCCTTAGTTATGATAAATATATATATATATAAACTTTATACTTCAGAAATCTTATTATCGTTATTATTAGATCTGTAACGATCTAAAGTATATTGAGATGTTGGCATTCCAAGAAGAGATGAGTGTACTCTTTTAACATGTGTCCAAAGATTTGTTGTAGCACCTTTAATGATAGAATATCTAATATTTGGACAATGTTTGCATTTCGCAGTAACGGTTTTATCTTTTTTCTCTTTATCAAAAAATTTCCAAACATCAGACCGTGAAGAACTAGAAGCATTAGATGTTTCATCTATAATATCAAAATTATTTGAAGTTTCAGATGTCATATCTGATATTTCGGTAACATTTGATACTTCGGACATAGTATTTAATATTTTTGATGTAAAAGATTCATTTATATTAGGTGTATTAAAAGGTTCACTGCCAAAATAATTGTCGCCCATTAGTAAATAATAATTATCATTAAAACAATTATTTTCATCCATTTTATCGCATTAAAGAGTAAATTTAATTAGTTTATAAGTACAGAAAACCTAAGTATTTGATTAATAATTTCAAATATTTGATCGCTAATTTCAAATATTTGATCGTGAATTTCAAATTCAATTACTTTTGAATTCTGCATGTTACCATTGCTTTAACAATGACAACATGCAGGATTCATGAGATTCTCAAAATTCATTGATGATAACTTCAATATATTCGAATTTATTTGATTAACAATTTCGAATAAAAATCAAATATTTGAATATATTTGATCAACAATTTCAAATAAAAATCAAATATTTGATTTATTTGATCAACAATTTCAAATAAAAATCAAATATTCGATTTATTTGATCAACAATTTCAAATAAAAATCAAATATTTGAATTTATTTGATCAACAATTTCGAATAAAAATCAAATATTCGATTTATTTGATCAACAATTTCAAATATTTGAGTTTTTTATCAATGTTTAAGTTTATTTACACAGCCAAACTATCATACGGATTTACAGATACAAAAGGGCTTCTAAATCAAAAAAGGCAACTACGCTGAATAGAGAATGCTACAAAAAAGATACCATAAATTGTACTGGGAAAGTACTATATAAAAGAGATGAAAGATAGAAGTAATTAGATAACAGGCTAAAGAATTAAAGGTTTTCTGTTTGTGATGGATGATAAATCATGTGAGCAAGACAATATCAATGTAATTTTTATTTCTTGATTTTGGTATGTACTTGTTTTTGTACAGTACCCTACATTGATTTAACCAAATAATAAAAATGTCAATTCCCTTGTATAGAAAACAATAACCGAACCTGAAGTAAACAAATAACGTATTCAATGAGAATTTAAG